TTTCTACATAGTTTTAAAGTAGAGAAAATTTCCAAAAAGATGATATATAGTTTATATACCTTTATGCTTTCATGAAATAAATACAGAGATCTTATTTTCGCGAAGTCGTGTTTTAACGCGCCATCGGTCAAATTGACCGGTGTGGAAGTGAAGGGGTTAAAATAAATGCAATACATACATCCCACTGAGGCAATATTTTACTGTTAATAGTTTGAGTTTGCATTTCCTCGAATAAAAACAAAACGATTGATACCATTGTTGATGATTATTCAGGCACAGTATAAATTTGAAATAGATGAAGAATTTACAGTTCTTTAATATGTACAAAGACGGAATTTTCATTTTCATTTATTTCTAGGGTTTCCACTCCTCCGTTTGAAATAGTAAAGAAACTCTGGTGAAGGGCACTTTGGGCACTGATTGTGCTCCTTTATAAGTCGATCCTTTTATAATGTTCTATGAAGCAAATTTTATTTGAAACTTTAACAAAGGTTGAAATATAAACAAAACTTCTTAATGAGAAGACGTGAAATCGTTCTACGTCCTTTTATTGAATAGCTCGATATATAGAAGACATTTTGTTTATTAACAACATTTATTTTCATGGATATGTCAATCAAATTCAAAAATATGACATGTAGATTCAAAATTTAAAATTTCAGACGTTGCTTATTTATCTACATTTAAATGCAAGTGTAATTTTTAAGTTTGTAAAAAAAAAATAATGTAATAAACATTTTAAAAGAAAAAAGACGTATTCCTGCTAAGAATTTTTATATACTTGTAGGTTCATAGCATTGTTTTCATCCTAAGTCGGAAAGACTCTATGAGAAATCTAACTGACGGAGAGAGAGAGAAGGAGATGAATTTTCCGCTATAAATTCAAAACGTATCATTAAAAAAAAATCAAGATTATTTTGACAACCAGTAACACAAAGACAGAATTTTTTCAAAATTTAAATATTTTATTTAAAAAATATTTAATTCGAGAAAAAAAACGCATTTTTCAATGGTATAATGAGCATATTTTTTTCAGTTTAAATTCTTTAAAATTGTTTTTTGTCGATGTGTACCTCAACAAAATTAATTTTTGTGTGTGTGTGTTTAATAGTTAAACAAATGAGTCGCTGAAATTTGACATCTAGGCTAACCTGATTTTATTTAAAATCATGGATTTTAGAATTAGTCGGTTGAATTTTTTTTCTCATTGTGAACAGCTAATGGGGGGAGGGGTAAATTTTGGAACATCCCGTCCAAATACGACTGGAACAATTTTGTCTAAAATCTACATACACATAGTACCGGTATATATACAAAAATACCGAAAATTAAATGACAGGAAATTTTTGGGGGTTGGGTGTGTTGAACATCCTTAAAAATTTGTACATGAGAAGAAGAAAAACCTTGCCGTGGTATTCAACTCGACATATAGATATATCGACAACGTTTTATCAATTAACAGTAATCATTTCCATTTGAATGCCGACTCGATTTGTCCCAGTGAACTTGAACTAAAAGACATCAAAAAGTCTGCCACATCTGCTTCATATTTGGATGTTTTACTGATTATAGACGACAAAAGCCAACTAACAACTAAATTGTATGACAAACTAGATGACCAGTTTATACATCGTAAACTCTCCTTATTCATGTAGTAATATTCCGCTATTACCTGCATATGGTGTTTTTGTATCCCAACATATTCGCTATTCAAGAGCTTGCTCTGAGTAGGATCAGTTTTTAATCCCAGGGGGCCTACTCACGCATAAGTTGATGTTACAAGGATCTCAACAACCTTGTTTAAAAACAGCATTCCAAAAATTCTATGGTCACTTTAATGATATTTGTAAGCAAGTATAGCCTATTATTTGGGTCTTATTTTGGATGAATTGTTACCTACCAATTGTTTAACTGTGTTTCTGATTAAAATTGACTACGGAATGTTCCATCCACTTGATCAATACATAGTGCTCACGGCGGCTGTGTTCATTCAACAGGGGATGCTTACTCCCCCTTGGCACATCATCCCACCTCTGGAATTTCCAGAGGTCCATGTTTATGCCCTGTTCACAGATTTGTATTGTTTGAAATTTTTATGAGACCGATCATTGTTCATTTTATTTACCTTTTTTTATTGAAATAATTTATCATCAAATATGTTATTAAAGAATTTAAAGTTGCTTTTGTCAAAAATGATGTGCCAGATTTAGATTAAAATCCTAAATAGCCAAAGTGCTACAGTAAGGTTCTTCAATTAGGAAGAAATATATGTCCTAATCTTATTTTCGATTCACGCTGGAAGAACATTTTCAAACATTTCTGGCATTTTTAAAGCTTTCGAGAATTTTTGAAGTTTTGATGTATTTTCATGAAGTAGAAGAAATTTAAGATTTGCATAGATGTTAGAAGTTCCGCCCCTTTACATTGTATGATGAATTTAAGGAGATACACAACGTACATGTGAATGTTCTATACAATACCTTTCCCACTGATGATGTTCCAAGGTATTCCTAGTTTTAGTTACAGTATCATCAGATGATCTTAGCGAGAAATCAGCATACATTATCAGGAGTGTATAACATAATTATATAAATTGTTTGAAATTATTTTGTTTTTTAAATAAAATTAATAACAATATAATTTTAGATGGTACTTCCTATAAATTTCAATCAGAGGTGGTGTTCAGCATTATTAAGCATCATAAAATGGCAGAGAAGTCCTTCAATTATAAGAAACTCTTAAATTATTCTGGGGAAAAAAATTAAAGTTCAAAACTACGTTGTTTATGTCCTTAATTGTGGTAAAACATTGCCAACTTTACATGAGATTTTAATTCATATCTTAATAAGTCTACATTAAAGGGTGTCTCGCAGGCACACTTAAAAGATAAAGAGGACATGTCAATGAAGCATGGTAGAAATAGTATGTAGTAAGGCTTCCTAACCTACCTGTAACATTTTTTGGGTAATTTCTGATGTTATTAGAGTACTGCGCAATTTGTAAACCTTGTGGTTTGGAGTGTGATTTTACTGATGTTTATATAAAAATAATAAATTTTGCAAATGTGTAACTTAGTATTAATGCACATTACTGTTAATTTGTATTTCCTTAGTCACTACTTTATGCCAATTAATGTACATTAACATCTGTATCTCAACTAAAGTATACCAATAATTGCTCAACAACTATCGTACAACTACTGTATATCAAGTATCTTAACAACATGCATCCGTAACATACATAAAGCAATTGAATGGAACATATTTAACTATATGCAGGACTGAATACTATCTACAAGTTTTTTGCAATATTCCAGCTCGATATCGAAAAGTTTTTACTTCAAAAGAAAATGCTACATCTATAAAAACTGTATTCACCCAACCACGAATGACCAGGACGAGCTCTAGCTCTGGAATTTCTAGGAGTCCGTGTTTTATTCCCTGTTCACAGATTTGCTATTTTGTATTTTTATTTTGAGATCGATCACTGTAGCTTCACCTTCTAGGCACCTGATCCCACCTCTAGAATTTTCGGGGGACCTTGTCTGTATTGTTCGTAGATCTGTTATAGATCAATCACTGTTCGTTATCTTCACCATTTTTCATTTTTCAGGTAAGACTACGATAAAATAAGATATTAGAATTTAACATTCGAAGTAAAAAATACTTTGATTTACTATCTTAAAATCTAGCTAATTATAGTTTACTATAGTATTTGTGTTAAAGAATATTAAGGAAATGTAAATTAATTAGGGAATGACTTTTTTTACAAAGATTGATCGAAAGTAAATGTTTGTTTTGTTTGTATGTTGTTTAACGTCCCTCTCGAGAATTTTTCACTCACATGGAGACGCCACCACTTGCCGGTGGAGAGCTGCAAATTTTGTCCTATACTCGGTACTTACGGCCATTGAGCAGTGAGGGATCTTTTTCGTGCCAGCACCTACTGCGACACGGGACCTCGGTTTATACAGTCTCATCCGAAGGACCGGTCTCCACGTTACACAGTGAGATTCGAACCCGCGACGTAAGGATTAACTCCTTACATCGCGACTCTAGAGCAGACGCTCTAACCACTGCGCCACGCGGGCGACACGAAAGTAAATGCGTATGGCATAAAGCGATAGATCTTTTTTTTTTTTTTTTTTTTTTGCTATTTTGAGCATTTACTAGGTTTTCTAAAAGAGATAAATGTATAATAACACAGAGAACCACTAGTTTACAGGAGATTCATATATGGATTATAATTTGTGCCTTTCTTTCCGAAAAACAGAACGTTTGCATCATTGTTGTAAAGTGTTTTGCAAATTGCATTGCACTGAATGATAAAAGTGATATGTTTCCTTTTCATCGATTTTGATCTGAGAAGTTGAAGTAAGAAGGGTATGAATATCTTCTTTAGCCCCGACAAAATCCTGACTTGAACCTAACAGAAAATATATTGTTTGATAATATTGCACAGCACATTCTTTTGTCAAAGATTCTAGAGACAAATTGGTGCGTCAACTTCAAAACATCGTGAACAGTTTATAGTCTGTAGTGACTATTGACAATGATAGCAATGTTGCAAAAATGATATCAAAAAATTTTTAATTCAAAAGAAAATACTTAAGTACTGAGTATTCCAAAACGATATCTAAGCGATTTTGATTAAAGAGAAAATACAAGTATAAAACAAGATATCTAGTTGAATTTCTGGAATAGATATGCTTAAAATATACACTTGCCGTTAAATATCAGTTGAGTACTCCTTATTATTCCAAGACAGGGAAATTCAGTAAAGTCATACGAAAAATTTCTCCTTTCGTCAGGAAGACTGGCATTATGTTCAACACACGATTTCCAAGCCTTGATCCATTCAGTCGAAGTAGTATTACGATACTTCATGACAATTGTATTTTTTCTAATACCTGTTAATAATGATTATTAGATAAAAAGAAAATAAATAAAAACAGGGATCATGCAAAATATTTATAAAACACTAAAATATAGTAGATTACTTTACTCTGATAAAAAAAACAAAAACAAAATGTGAAGAAAGCTTTATTTAGCACGTGATAAGTTCAAGGAAGCAATTTACAGCTGAATTTCATACGAAACTAGCAGATTTTTTTTAAATCAGAAAAAGTTTAAATCGAAGCACTATAGACCTACTCCATTATTTATTTATGCACATGAGAACTGAACTGTAATAATGGTCTTCATCCACAAGACTATAGAAATACTCGAAGAAAACACCTCATCATTAAAATTGTATCAAGAATTCTATGAAAAATCAGCATCCCTATATATATATATATTGACAGATAAAAACTTACTTTGTAAACACAGAGTTGTGCAGGTTGAAGTGTTTTGGCAGGCAATTCTTTGATAAGGCAGTTCAACATCAGCTAGATATAAAGCATTGCATTGTTCCTCATGGGGTGGTTTAAACCCCGAAAAAGTTTTGTAAGTCACTGAAATTTATCAATTATAAATGATTTTATTCCCTCTATATGTAATTTGTTACGTCTTTTGTGAATATGTTATTAAAACTCATATTGCAGGCGTTAATTTAATGATACATAAGAGCATAACCTTCTATGACTTTGTACAGTGATATTGCCTCTGTTCCGCCACATGAAGTCTCAATCACATCAGTACATCGCCAACCACACAGTGATTCTGGGAGCTGCGTTTTCTCAAATTCTTTTATATTTTCTGGTATTAGGTAACAAGAAGTTTTCTGTCATATGATAAGACACATGGTAATAATTCTAATGTATAATTTTTTTTATATAAATGAATTAGTAGTCCTGGCAAAATGACATGACTTTCTAGAGATGTTTTCAATAAAGAAAGAGCATTCAATTAAAGAAATCAGAGATATGAAATAATCTAAAATTTATACCTCTTTTGGGAACGTGAAAAATAAATCACTGTTAGAAAGAACCTAACCATATATTGTTTAAAAATATAAACCAAAACAAATTAGATTGAAACATTTTGCATTTAAAAATTTATAGAAGAAATTTAAAATACATTTGAAATAGTTTTGTAGCCTAAAAATTATTTCGGTACAATGTTGCAAAAATATGAAACGCATATTGCTGAAAAAAATCTTTTGCATGAATTTCAAACATGTCATCTGCTAATCTGTTAATTGCCAATTTTTTGCGGTGAGAATATCTTTTAAAAATCGTTATTGTAACACCATTATTCAGAACAATAAACAACTGATTTGAACAAAGCAAGATCTAGACTTCATGTTATATCAATAACAGAGGTTGTTATAGATGTCTGATCCTAATTTTGACTGAGTCTTCCTGAGTATTATTAGAGTCTCTATTGAATGTCTTATTTAAAAAAGAAACATGAAATCGAGACAACTAAATCATGTTTTACATAATGCACGTACATGTATTCCAATATATGAACTCATCATGCTGTCCAGTGAATCAAAAACAAGATTGCAGTTGTGGTGTAGTTGACCATTGTGTGTCAGGTTTATATGATGACATCCTGTTAAAAAGTAAACTACTTAATTTAAGAAATTAATTTAATAAATTTTTGCAATATCTGAATTCTGAGTAGGAGAGATAGCTTTTTGTCGTCATAAAATGATTTAATTTCGTCTTGGAAAAAATCTTTAAAGTGGCGTTATTATATTATATGATTATATCAAAACTATACTGCCCGAGCCTACTGTCTCCCATCTTTCTTTCATATATGAATTCTTCTGGCATGGTTTTTATTTTGTAAGTGATAAAGAGAGAAAGGATTGCATACCCCTGATTGAAAGCCATTGACGATGTCCTATTAAAACATATCTGTCTTCATCAGTAAACGTCCATACGGTTTCTTTGGACTGCATGATATAACTAATATCGTGCTCTGTTGTCTTGGTGTCTGGCGTCTTGAAGCCATAGAAAGAACACTTCTTATCTGCCTCCTCCCTTGGCACTGCGTAGTCAATGAACACAAGAGAAGAATTGGTAGTTTCATCTGTAAAAATATCAATCAGCAAAATTAGAAACATTATCAGTTTTACCAATGAACTTAATGAGGAATTAAAAAATCGAAACATGCTGTCCGTCACTAAACTTTGATCTGTAAAAATTCAAAAATTACAAGGGAAATTTGATTAAGTTTGGATGTTTTATATGCATAAATTGAATGAAGGCAAAAACAGATCAAAGGTTTATCAGTTATATGTGTTTATATTGTTAATATATATATATATATATATATATATATATATATATATATATATATATATATATATATATATATATATATATATATATATATATATATGAAGCACAAAAAACTAACAACACTGTATATCCTAAGTGTCGGGATCTACTAAGTAGATAGAAGGTCACGGATGAAAATTGATATAAAGCATTAAAAATGATCAACTACACGAACAGTCAAAATTGTCAAAATTTTCGGGACGACCTGTCCCTTGCACAGGACAAAAAATAAGTTAAGAACTCATAAAAACAAAGGAAATAGAGAAACAAAAACAACTAGCACTACTACTAAACTACGAAACACGAAACATTTACAGTGTTACATGTTTAATTTGAAGTTTATAAACAGTTGTGAAGAAAGAAATCCGGAGCGCAATGAAATGCGTCCGGTCTATCGGGTGTACTCTGGTGAAGTGCGATTTACATAATTGAACCAATGAATTATCGCTAATTAATTACGACTATGTAGTAAATCGTACACTGTTTTATTCTCTCAAAATAGCATAACTATACATGATAAATAGAAACTAAAGAAAGATAATATGGAACGGCAATTTTAAAATATGATTTTGGATATATTATAAATTTGGAAATGTTTTAGAACTGTTAATCGGATAAAAGAAATAAAGAAAAATGTAAGCTATAAATATTTGCGTGGGTTGTTCCAGAATTGCTAATGGGAATTAACAGTAAAGTTTACACTATATAGAGAGAATGAACTTGTTTGTTAAAATCCGGGATTGGGTCTAGTTCACTTTCATCCTGGTGAAGTCATTTAGTTTGTTAATACCATTAGGGCGGAATGATTTCAGCTTGTGCATCCAGAACGTTTCCTTGCCTTTTCTCTGAGCGTCTGTCCAACTTGGATTATGGTCAATAACCATACTGTCATGTCCTCCCATTTGTGACCTTCAAGGTTGAAATGTTCCCCAACGGGTTCATTGAGTTTTATGGTCCTAATGCTCGAACGGTGATTATTGACTCTCCTGCAGAAGTCTCCTGTTTCACCAACATACTGTTTGGAGCAAAATTTGCAACTGATGAGATAAATGCAGTTGTCTGTTTGACAGGACAAATTCACTAGTATTTTGTAGCTGTGGTCTGTAACGGGGCTGTTAAAGCTGTCTGTGTCAGAGCTGTGCTTACAGAGAAGACATCTTCTGTCAGAGCAAGTTTTTAAGCCCCCGTTAGGTAATGGATTGTCAAATCTTGTTCTTACTACCATGTCCTTTAGGTTCCTCGGGCGTCTGTATGCAGCCAATGGGGGCACTTCACCAGAGTACACCCGATAGACCGGACGCATTTCATAGCGCTCCGGATTTCTTTCTTTCTTTACAACTGTTTATAAACTTCAAATTAAACCTGTAACACTGTAAATATTTAGTGTTTTGTAGTTTAGTAGTAGTGCTAGTTGTTTTTGTTTCTCTGTTTCCTTTGTTTTTATGACTTCTTAACTTTTTTCTTTGTCCTGAGCAAGGGGCAGGTCGTCCCGAAAATTTGACAGTTTTTATTGTTCGTGTCGTATATATACATAATGCATTTACTTGTAACAAATTAAATAACACAAGCGAAATCACAATATTGATTGTTAATCTGTTAACATGTTCAGTGTACACAAGCAAAATCCAAATAAAGACATTTTTTACTTTGAACAATTTTTTTTTTTCGATGAATTTTTCCGCAGAGTTCAAAAGAGAGTTCGATGATTTCCCAATTAGATATCATAAATGTAGATTGAAACAAAAATATCAACATTTTAGTTTTTTCACTAAGTTTGCAATAAAAACAGGAGATATCGTTAGAAATTCGATTAATCCTGTGATTGTCGTGACATTTGTTTTTTACTACCAAAAAATGTGAAGAAAACGATCAGTTATCATACTCAAATGTCAAAACAAACGATACAAATTTGAGCAGAGGAAACATGGAAATCAGAAAATATCAGAATTTGGATTAGGAGCCAAGAGGAGTAAACACCCCCTGCCCATAATAGGAAATGTGGATATATGGTTCATTTTTATCTTAGATACTCAGTAATTAAGCTTAGCACTTACTTGTTAGGTAAAGGTTTCTTCTAACCACCTCAGACCCCATGGATACCAGGCATGTGTAAATTCCTTTGTCTCTTTGAGTTACCTCTACAATTAAAATGTATTTTTTGGATGTAAATACTAGATACTGTCATTGTAGTTAAGGAAGCCCGCTCCTCAGCCAGGGACAATAACTCTTAAAATGATTGATAAATTCAATTATTCTCAAAATTCAGCTTGATTTGTTTTTGACAACAATCTTTATTCCATGCATTTTTAATATGTCAATGTTCTTTGAAATATTAGAAACGATCTTGTAAAAAGTGGTCAATAACACTCCATAAAAATACAAAACATATATTTCTTTAGAGAAATCGAGTTTCATTAATCTTGCCTTAGTCACCGATGTTTATCAGCAAGAAATGAAATTGGAAGTGATTTGAAATATTTGCAATGATATCACAAGCTTTTTTATACTGTATTTTATATAACAATTAAAGTTAATAGAATAACTTAAATACAGCATAAGCATAAAAAACATGCATTTTTTCCGAATGCCTGGATACCTATAGTTATTTTTTATCCTAAAATATAATTGCTGATCAATTGTCAGTTAGAAAAAGCATAATTGGGGCTTTATTTACCTTTCCAGAAAAAATATATTTAAGATTTAATATTTTCCCCTATATAATGATATTTGATAATTTTCCCTATTTGTTCTTATTCACGAAGCTTGATTTATAACTTTCGTATGGATCTTTCAAGATTTTAGTATGATGTCATTTTTTATGTTAGAAATCATTTTGATGATGACGTTTGATTACGTATCACTATGTCTTACTCAATACTTTTGAATTAAAGTTCCATGCATTATAGACCAACATGAAAGGACCATTTTTGCATGAAATTAAAAAAAAATCACCCATTATGTGATGTTTTAAACACCGCATGAACAAAAGTTAATAAATATTGCCAATCTTCATCCTCTTACTTACCTTTAATAACAATAGTTAGGTTTATGGCATTCTGAAATGCACTATTGACGGATGTTCTATTCCATTCCTCTAAATGTATGTCGTATTTTGGTTGAAAAGATCTTTCTCGAAATTGACCAAGAATTACAACCCTGTTATTGTTTTGAAATATCCAATCGACGGAAGCATTTGAGGAATAAAGGGAGTGTAGAGCAGGTATTCCATACACAATGCATCTGATGATAAAGTTTTCTCCCTCTGTTACTTGTGTTATATTTGTCACTACTTCAACTGAAATGAGAAAAAAAATTAAAACATACCTATATATATTACATCAATCATTGGAAGACTACAATTGTACAGTCGACAACTTGACTTTCAAAATTTTTATGAAATGACTGTAATTACATTTAATTTCTTTTAAAACGTACAAAATGGAAGATTTGTAATGATGATAAGGGAGAAAGGAAAGGAAAGAAAAGAGAAATTCAAACAAGTTGATATATATTGAAATGCAAAAAAAAAAAATCCACAGTGCTCGGTAAATTTCAGATATTTAAAAAAAAAATCGAAAACCTTTAGTAAAGCTTCTACGCTTTCATTTCAAATCTTCGGAAGCTTTACAACAAGTAACATAGCAACATCACGTCATAATAAGCTGAACATTATACACTAACGTCTATTGTGACGTCATAGTTAAACATTGCGGGAAAATGTAGAATGAAGATAACATGTACAATTTTGATAACGATTATGCTAAATTGTTAAGTTTAGGTTTGAGAATATGTACAAAATGTTTTTCTTTTCACGTCTCTGCATGTCACTTTCACCTGAAAGTTTGTAGAAAGAAAATATAATGAATTGTTTATTTCCACAAAAATCCAAATGTTCACTCAGAGGGATTTGCCGATCTTCCGGGGAGTTGATATGTTGTCTGTGCGCACTTTAAAAATTGCAATACAACGATGAATATCAGTATTACATAAGTATTGAAAATTATACTGGAGTATTTTGTACAGCCTAAGTGTTGCTTTTTTATGCAATTAAGTGTTTAATCGTACATTCCGGAAACATTTAAATAAGTAGATGTATTAAATGCATGTACTTGAAATAAACAACATGGAAGATGCTTAAAATGTAGAGGAGAAGACACAGCATGAAGACAGACTGTACGGATTAAACACTAATGCACGAATTTCTAAATCTTTCTGCCAATAAGCATTACTTAAATGAGAATAAATCTCAAAAGAGTAAACGGAGGCAACATAATGAAAGAAAAGATATTTCAGAAATATGCTTTATTAAAATATTTTTCATTATTCCCTTTGGGTTGTAAAAAAAATACGCAGTGTTGAATAAAATAATATAAAGTCCATTTTTAGACTAAGATGTCAAGAAGTCGCACAATAACATATGCATAATGTATGCTTAAAATTCCAGATAACAGTTAATCAAACACTAATACAAAAAGCTTACTTGTAAAACTACCCGCTGGTGTGATGATAGGTAGCAAATAAGACAATACACATAAACACAGTTTCATTTTTCCAAAATGAAGTATTGTAATCTCCTATACACGGAAAATACAGTGGGTGTTTAAAAGAAATTGGTTCTTGTTCCTTTCTCTGAAATGTGTATCTTCCATAGAAAAAACCTACGCCTTAAGTCGTGTGTCCCTGTTCCCTGATTCATTCTATAGGCTCCTTGTTATCTATATTTATTTTAAGCTTCTTTATATCAAAATATATTCGACATTTGATGTCATGTTAGTCTTTGTGTCATGAAAGAGACAACTGCATCTTGTTGGTATTGTTCCACCATTACAAAGGAAATAGATTCATTACTGCAAATATGTTAACAATAAAAAAGAAATGCAAATCTATGAAAACTATACGATAACGTCGTTTATAAGAAATAGAATGATACCTAGATTTTAAAATAACTTGAAGTATTTTTTATTCAATGCATAAATTGTTTTATAGTAAGTAAACTTACACGTAACTAATTTGTACTCGATAAGTGGGCATTGTAAGTGGTTTTTATAAGGATGTATATAATCAACATTGAATTATTATTTTCCTACATCTATGTTAACTATCAATCTTACACTATTTTTCGTATATATTGAGGACAATCAGATAGATTTTTTTCGCTGAAATACACTGTTATTGTTTAGTTAATTAATAAGTAATACTATATATTCTCGTCATCAGAGTACTTTATTTGATCCTCTATTTTTATCGTCAACAGGATAGTAAAACAGGAATCCTCTCTCCTAGCGTGTGTGTAAAATAAATAAAACGAAAATTAGCCTATTCATTTGCAAAAAAAAGTCTCCCATGATAAAAAATAATAAATTTTCATTAGAGCATTACATACATGTTAAAGTTGTGTGTCTTTGCAAGCAGAGTGTGGTAGATATTCTTTCAAAATAAGCAAATCTTCAATTGCATTTTAATAACATCTAACAAGCAATTTGCCAATGGGCTTAAATGCGAAACGTGGTAATCTTTACGCTGTTTATCCCCTAACTCCCCCATTGAGATTAGTGACATCAATATGACTAATTGTTGCCATGTTGCTCATTGGATATTTATCAAAAAAGTTTGATTTGAGTTTCTTTTCTAAAAAAAAAACATTGACCCTGATTGTGGCCACACTAGCCCTGTAAAATTTATATAGCTGCTATTTAAGAAAACTTTTTTTTAAATTATTTTCAAATCAGATTATACTGCCATATGAAGCTTTGGCTACAAACGTACAGAACCCTTTTCTTGTAGTGTGGACATTGAACAATCTTGATTTTTCACAAAACGAAGATGAGTGTTAACAAATACGACTATTTGTCATCCTTTTATTCATTCAGAGGAGCCCCTGTGGTGCAGTGGTTAGAGCGTTTGCTCTAGAGTCGTGAAGTAAATAGTTACTTCTTAGGTCGTGGGATCGAATCCTACTGCGGGACGTGGAGACCGGTTCTTCAGATGAGATCGTATAAAACGAGGTCCCGTGTCAGATTAAGTGCTGGCACGGAAAAGATCCCTCACTTCTCAATGGCCTTAAGTAGTGCAGAATATAGGTCTAAATTTACAGATCTCCACCAGCAAGTGGTGGCGTCTCATAATCAGTGAAATATTCTCAAGAGGGACGTTAAACTACAAACAAACAATCTATTCATCAAATATTTAAAATAAAAACCATTTTACAGAATTGAGTCATTGGTTCTCAAACGATATGTTTACTCTGCCGCAATTTTACAAATACAGTAAAACACGCTTATATCCGTTATTCTTCTATTGAAATTATATTGAAAAAGATGAACAATTCCATACTGGTTGATACAGCGCCCAGTATAAGAACAGGTGTCAATCTGCAGAGTTTACAAGGGGTACATGCTCTGTCAGAACGGTCGGTGCTCCTCGGATTCTTCTTAGGGAAATTCACAAATTACCTTTTATACAATCTGCTGTTTTGGTATTAAAAAACCCAAACATTTACTAAAAATAAAGATTGTAAGGTTTCAATCAGAGACTTTTTGACAATATGTTCGGACCTTATATGTTCCATTTCCAAATGTTTTACCTGTTTATTTTAATAACAAATACTTCGTTAAATAGCAACCGTACGGGGAAAATTTTTTATACTTGTACTAGTGTAAATTTAAAAGGTTCACTCAACAAGGGAATGTCGAGGCATAGATTTGAAATGTATTGGGGGGGGTCAACATCTTTATGAACATTTCAATTCGCCTGACCACTCTATTCTTTCAATGAGAGTTAGAGTTTCGGGAAAAAAATATATCACCAAGCTAGAAGCCCTACTTTGAGTACTCCATTCCGTAGACAATGAGAAGAATACTGGATCAAGAATTAGGCAAGACCTTTTTGTATGGTTGCAACGACCACATAAATAATGTATGGAATCTCTCTAGCCCACAGTGTACAAATGTGAATGTGATGGGACTTTTTAACAATTCACCTAGACGTGGGCATAGTCATGGACCTCGGTCGTACAGTAGACCAAATATATACGACGTCTCTTTTGATTCACGTTTGTCTTACGTCAATAAACAATTAGGCCTTCATCACATTCG